GTACAGGGTCTGCTTTCCAAGTGAGAAGCCCTGAGTTCAAACCCCCAGCCCCACAAAAAAAAATAAAATAAAAGGTGTCTCAGCTTCCAGCCTCCACCTGGGCCCCACCATGCTTCCCTTTGTATTTGTCTTCCCTAACTTTTAGTAAACTCCCTTTACACGCCCCCAAAAAGGAATAGAGTTGACACTAGGCATGATGGTGAATGCCTGTAATCCCAGCTACTCTGGACAGAGGTTGGGAGGATTTAGGTTGGAGGCTGACCCAGGCAAAAAATTAGCAAGACCCCATCTCAGCAAGAAAGCTGGATGTGGGGGTACATGCCTGTCATTCCTATGGTGGGAGGCATAGATGGGAGAACTGTGGTCGGAGGCTGCTCCAGACAAAAATGCAAGACCCTCTCCAAAAAATAACTAAAGCATAAAGGACCAGGGGCATGGCTCAAGTGATAGAGCACCTATCTAGCAAGCAGGAGGCCCTGAGTTCAAACCCCAATACTGCCAGTAAATAAGTAAAAAGTCGAAAGAGTCACACTGCTTAATTTCAAAACTTACTACAAACCTACAGTAATCCAGATGGTACGGTGGTAATTGCATATGGATGGATGTATGCACCAATGCAATAAGAGTTGGGAGACCAGAAATAAACCTTCTCTTCTGAGGGCACTAAGATAATTAAGGGGGGGAAGAATAGTCTTTTCAATAAATGGTGCTGTGTCAAATGGATATCCACATAATGAATTTGAGTCTCTTCCTTACACCAGACACAAAAAATAACTCCAAGTGACTGTAGACCTTAATGAAAGAGCTAAAACTATCAACATCCTAACTGAAGACATAGGAGCAAATCTTGGTGACCTTGGGCTGAGTGAATATTTCTTAGACATAGCACCAAAAACATAAGTAACAAAAGAGATAGACACACTGGACCTCATCAAAAGGACAAACTTCTGTGTTGCAAAAGACACCATCAAAGGCATGGCAAGATAACCCTAGAATTGATAAGTATAACTTGCAAATCATGTATCTGTCACCTCTCTGTCCCTGTGGGATTGGAGTGTGACTGGTCCTTGTGGTAGTGCTGGCATGGGATGAGAATCTGTCCATCTGTAATCCTGTCCCCCATATGACAAGGAACTGGTATCCAGAATATGTGAAGAACTCTTATAACTGGATTTTTCAATGAAAAATCTGGATTTGAATCGGCATTTCTCCAAAGAAAACAGTCAAATGACTAATGAGCACATAAAACGAAGTTCAACACCATTAGTCATTAGGGAAATGCAAATCAAACCTCAGTGAGACACCACTTCCTCGCTCACTAGGGAGCTATGAACAAAATGACTTGATAACAAGTATGGTCCGGGATGCTGAGCACTTGGACCCTCCTACACTGCTGGTGGGGACATACGTTCACGGGGCCTCCTTGGAACATAGTTCCTTAAAATGTCAACCATGGTCCGTGTATGACCTGGTAATTTCTCTCCACTTCTACATATGTTCCAAGAGAACTGAAAACACATGTCCACGTCGTATCACACGTGGATGTCCGTAGCAGTGTTATTCACAGCAGCACCAAAGTACACATACCCCAACATCCACGTAGATGAATGGAAACATAAAGAATGAGTAATATTTACACAATGGAACATTATTTGGCGATAAAAACCAATGGAGAACTGATACATGCCACAACACGGATGGACCATCCATCAGAACATACAAAAGAAAGAAGCCCATCACAAAGACTGCATTTTTTTAAATGAATCCATTATATGAAATGTTTAGAACAAGCAAATCTATGGGGATAGAAAGATTAGTGGTTGCTAAGCTGGTGGGAGGGTAGAATGGGGAGTGGCTGCTAATGGGCACAGGGTTTCCTTCTGGGGTGATGAAAGTGTCCTAAAATTAAATTGTGGTAATAGTTACACAACTATGAATATGCTAAAAACCACTAAGCTGTACACTTTAAATGAGTAAATTATATGGTTGATGAATTGCATCTCAGTAAAGCAGAGTTGTTTTTTTAAAGGCCAGGGATCTGGGCAGTGTGATGGGGTGAGGATTGCTGAGAGGGTGGAGATCCGACACTCATCGTGTGCTGGTGATGTGGTTGGTCACAAATCTCTTGGATTTGTGGGTCCCCCAGCCCCTGAGCAGGTTCAGGTGGCCTTCATTCTTCATTTCCAGCCAAGCTGGGAATCAAGACAATTGGAACCCGGCTCGTTGGAAGAGTCTGCCTCAAGGGACAGGTAGTCAGTACGTCACACTTAAGGCTGGCAGTCTCTGTGGAGGTGAGGGTCAGTCAGGATAGAAGAATGAACTTCGGAGTCCCCAAAACTCCCCCCTATATGAGTGCAGCGGACAATCAACCCATCCTTCAGGTACAGTGAGAAAGGCTCGTGTATCATGCTATTTGATTTAAAAACACTAAGTTATGATTAAGGAAAACCCAGCATCTTGGGGATTGTTTATGTTTATGACCTGGAGTGCATCTGGGTGCCCACCTCTGGGTGCCCCAAGGCACTGCAGACAGCAAATGCCTGCTTGGCATGGGGGAGCTGATGCCATCAGGGCACCTGACCTCCTGCGGCATGAGTGCAGAAGAGGTGCTCACCTCTTAAGAAGCAGAAATAGGGGTGTGGGTTGGCTCAAGCAGTGGAACACCTGCCTTGTAAATTCGAACCCTTGAGTTCACACCAATAAATAAATAAATAAATATAAGCAGAAATAGTGCTGAGAGGAGCAGGGGATTGGGCAGTGGGGTAGAGTTTGGAAACTCATGAGGACTTAGCCTTAAATGAAGACTGAAGTTTGTTTATTCTATTTTTTTTTTTTTTGCAGTGCCTGGCATCAAATTCAGGGCCTTCCACAAGCTAGACAAGTGCTCTTTCACTGAACTACACCTCCAGCCACTATTTTTATTAGCAAGAAGTTGGAAACTAAGGCAGGTGTGGTACCATTCACCTGTAATCCCTGCAACTTGGGAATTGGAGGCAGGAGGATCTTGAGTTGGAGGCCAGTTAGGCCATGGGCAATGGTAGTGAGACCCTGTCTCAAAAACAAAATAAAAACAAAAGGGGGGAGAGTAGCTCAAGTGGTAGAGCACTTGCTTAGCATGCAGGAGGCCCTGGGTTCCATCCCCAGGACAACAACAACAGCAAAATAAGTTGAAACTGGACACTATATAAACATCTAGGAGTGGAGGCAAAGCCCTAAATTCAAACCCCAGTACAACCAAAACCTACCAAACAAAAGAAATATCTAACAGTTGAATAAAAATGTTACGATACTGCCTTGCAGTGGGATGTTATGTAGCTATTTAATGATAAGGGAAAAAGGTTTTTTTTCTTTTTCCTTGGAACTGGGATTTGAATTCATGCTTGCTAGGCAGGCACTCTACCACTTGAGCCACTCCACCAGCCCTTTTCTGTGTTGGTTATTTTCGAGATAGGGTCTCATGAACTGTTTGCCCCCTGGCTTGGAACAGAGATCCTACTGATCTTTGCCTCCTGAGTAGCTAGAATTATAGGTATGAGCCAATTTTAGTTTTGTTTTTTTTTTTAAGGCAGGCCAGGTACCAGTGGCTCATGCCTGTAATCCTAGCTACTCAGGAGACAGAGATCAAGAGGACTGTGGTTTGGAGTCAGCCTGGGAAAACAGTTCTTGAGACCCTATCTCAAAATACCCACCACAAAAAGGGCTGGTGGAGTGACTCAAGGTGAAGGCTCTGAGTTCAAGCCCCAGTACCACAAAATAAAAAAAGAGAAGGCTGAATATCAAACAATATATTGTATGATTTCAACATGTAAAACAGGAAAAATACTGGCATAAAATTACTGATCACTAAGCTTAGTTCTCTGGATGGTACAGGTTCATTTTCTCTTTCTCCCTTCTCCGACACACCCACCCCATGTTTCTGTCTTTGTCTCCCCTTCCTCTCCCCAAATTTTCTTCAGTAACCTTGGATTATTTTTATCACTAGGGAATACCATGTATTTTTCTTTGGAGTCTTCGAGGCACTGTAGGGAAGGGGTAGGGCTAGCAATGTGGAACTGGGTACCATCTCCCCAGAGAAGAGGTAGAAACAAACTCTGAGCAAGCTCTGTAGGGAGAGCCAGGGAAGAGAGAGAAGGAGGCTGGGGAGAGGCTGAGAGGGCAGGAGGAGGCGTTAGAGCGAGGATGATGAGGGTTGGACGGTCATGGAGGAAGACAGAGGGTGAAGACTGAGTCACCCCATGGAAGGGAGGGAGGACAGAGGCTGAAGGAGGCCACCTCCACCTCAGAGAAGACTTGCTCCTTTCTGGAGTTGCCAGAGGTTAGATTTTTTTTTTTTTTTGGTACTGGGGTTTGAACTCAGAGCCTATACCTTGAGCCACTCCACCAGCCCCTTTTTTATGATGGGTTTTTTTTGAGATAGGCTCTCGCAAACTATTTGCCTAGGCTGGCTTCAAACCACTATCCTCCTAATACTGCCTCCCAAGTAGCCAGGATTACAGGTGTGAGCCACCTGTGCTCAGCTCAGAGGTTATATTTAAATAAGCATCAGTCTATAGACTTTATATCAGATGAACTCATTCAAACCAACTTCCTACTTTACAACTGAGTGGCCTGGAGAAAGCTGCCTAACCTCTCTGAATCCTTTTCCCCATCTGTTAAGTGGGGACATAACAAAAACACTACATTACTGCTTGCATTGAATGAGGTTGCTCATAGGACATACTTTTCACAGCCCCTGACGTATATGTACTTTTTTGTGTGTGGTGCTGGGGATCAAATTTAGGGCCTCGCCCATGCTAGGCAAGCACTCAGTCACTGTGCTCTATCCCCAGTGGTTATTACTTAATGGTGGTTGTTATCATACAGAACAGCTCTGAGCCATAAAGGAAACATTTATTAATACCTTTAGCTTTTGAAACAGCTTCTCCTGGTTCTTTGGTCAAGGCTTTTTGCATGTGGACCCCTGGGATGTTCACTGTGTCTTCTTTTCCTCTCAGCCCCAGCCGTCCCCTCTGCCACCATGAGGAACATCTTCAAAAGGAACCAAGAGCCAATTGTGGCTCCTGCCACTACCACCGCCACGATGCCGATACTACCTGGCCCCGCAGACAACTCCACAGAGAGTGGGGGCGCTGGGGAGAGCAAGGAGGACATGTTCGCCAAACTGAAGGAGAAGTTATTCAATGAGATCAACAAGATCCCCTGTGAGTGGCCTTGGTGGCAGAGAGGGTGGTAAGACTAGAGCCTGGGGAGGGGCTGGGGCAGGGAAGGGTTGAGGAGGGGTTGGAGACCACAGAACTGGGCTGGGCTTTTCCCTAATGCTTGAGTCTAAGCCTGGATCCTTTGGGGGAATCACTTTAGGGAGATGGGGAGGTATGGTCTGGAGCTAATGAGGCAAGCAAGAGGGTTTATGTTTTTGTGTCCTAACTTCCCAGGGGAAAAAACAGTTCTGACAACTTAAAAAACTGTCAACAGATGAAAACAAAAGTTGAAAAATTATGGAACAGAAAGATTATTCAAGTTTTCAGTAACATTTTGAAATGACTTTACTTTGGCATATGGAAAATAAAAGCCTCGGTGATTTCTGAATTCCTGGCAAAGGCTGTCTGCTTAGGAGACACCAGGGATCTGGTTGATGGGGAGCAGCCATACTGGTGGGAGATGTGGCGTCAGTACCATGGAGAACAGCCAAGGCTGCTCTCCGCCCCCCGCCAAAAAAAACCCACTTAAGCCATGCAAAGCCCAGCATTCTAGGTGGGCCAGACATGAAGAAGCCTTCTTGTCTTAAGTTAGCCCTCTCAAGACTGGGCCTGGGGGTCAGGAGGACAGGAGCTCTTTCTATACCTGGGTGTTATAAGGACCATTCCATCTTCTCCAGTAGGAGCCAGTTCTGCAAAGATCAGACTAGTCAAAAGTCTACTAATAGAGCCAACTGATATTCTTCCATACAAACTTCTGGCTGCTGTCTCTTAGCAGGCTGTAGTCACAAGGGTGGCAGGCCAAGGAAAAGGCACACAAAGTATATGTACCTCGTGTGCAAATCACTCATGGCTATATAGTGAAAAATGTGGAGCTGGGGACTGGCGGAGTGGCTCAAGTGGTCGAACGCCTGCCTAGCAAGCATGAGGCCCTGAGTTCAAAGCCCAGTACTGCCAAAAATAAATGTGGTTGAGGGGCACTTGGGGGTGGGGGGTCATGGTCCTGGCCCATTTTTGCCCACAGTATGGGGTCAGGCCTATGAGGCACAGCATGCTGACCCCGGGACTCTTCTCCATGTGGGCAGTGCCTCCCTGGGCTCTGATAGCTGTTGCTGTGGTTGCTGGCCTCCTGCTCCTCACCTGTTGCTTCTGCATCTGCAAAAAGTGCTGCTGCAAGAAGAAGAAGAACAAGAAGGAGAAGGGCAAAGGCATGAAGAATGCCATGAACATGAAAGACATGAAGGGAGGTCAGGTAGGCATGGGGTGGGGGCCTGGAAGGGCCCAGCACAGCTTTCCTGAGGCTGAAAGGTGAAGCAAAGGTTTCTGGGATTTTTTTTTCTTTCTTTCTCTTTTTTTTCTATTTTAGCAGCACTGGGGTTTGAATTCAGGACCTCACACTTACTAAGCAGGTGCTCTACCATTTTCTGGGCTTTTGTAGACAAGCCACTCTCTCCTTCAAACAACTGGCCCCTCCCCTCACACTTCACCTGGACCCCAAAGGCTGTTCCTCCAGTACAGTGTAATGACTTCTCCCTGTCAGCTAGTGGGAAAGGGGGCTTATTCGTGGGTCAGCATGAGCACTCTCTGAAGAGGCAAAAGAAGAGACATATACTGACCCCTAAGGAGACCACTGGAAGAAAGTCTGGACAGAGAGACAACCACTACCACCCACAGGAAGGCCCATTGGGTAACTGTGCCTTTTCCTCCCACGAGCGACCAAAGGAAAACAGGTGTCTCAGCGGAGGCATCTACCTGAAATGAGGTGGGGACTCGGTCCTGAGGCACCAAGACAGGGCCAAAGGGATCTATCGCTAGTCACATAGTAATTTATTTCCTCTTGGTGTTAGTCAGCCTCAAAAGGTCCCTTGCTACACCAAAGTCTCTCCTTTTTAAGTTTAGAGGCCCCTGAGTCTTCTTATTCTCCATGTCTGTTTTGGGATAGTTTGGGAGAAATCTCAAGGAATCAACATGGAGGGTGGTAGGAAGGGGCTAGTCACAAGAAGTCAGCCAGGGGTCATGATGGCCTTTGAGCATGAGCGTGTGTATGTGAGCATGTGTGTGTGTGTCTGTCTGTCTGTATGTGGGCCCCAAAGGAGCCTACAGTGTATTTGTGTGTATGGTTCCAAGAAAGACCTGGATCTAGCCCAGCCTGCAGTCACCAAATGGCTGTGACTTCAGGGGCCTGAGCCACAGGATTTTCTCTGACATTTCTTTCTTCCTTCTCTTTCTGCTTCTGTGTACTGCCCTCCTCCTGTCTGCCTGGACTGCACTCCTGGTATGTCTTGCCCAGGATGGGTGGGGACTGAACTGGGAAAGGTATTGGGAGGGGTCTTACAAGCAAAGCAAGTCCTCCCACCTCAAGAAGCTGTAGGGCATGTGGTCTAGCGCCTGTGCTCATAGCATTGTGCTCCACTGGGAGGAGAGAGGCACCCCCAAAATCAGAGCTCTGTCTTCCAAACACAAGGCTGGGGATTTGTCTGGGGGTCCTGAGGGGCTTTGAGGAAGCCCCTCACAGGCCATACTCCCCCTCCACCCCACACCCAGCATGGAATCAAGGTCTGGCACAGAGGGGTGGCTTCCCATTGCCCTGTGCTAAGCCAGGCTTTTACGTCATTCCCCCTCTCCCAGCTCCATCAGGATGACGATGATGCAGAGACAGGCCTGACTGAGGGAGAAGGTGAAGGAGAAGAGGAGAAAGAGCCGGAGAACCTGGGAAAACTGCAATTCTCCCTGGACTATGATTTCCAGGCCAACCAGGTGTGTGGCAATGGGATGGGGGGGACAGAGTGATGGCAGAGGGCCTGGGGACATAAAGTTACCCTAGAAACATTGGGCAATGCTCCTTTCCATGGAGCGGGACAGGTTGGAAACCACACAGATTTATCCCCGGACTTTGACCCTGGCCTGGCTACCAGCCTGCTCTGTGGAACGTTTAACAGAAGGTCATCTCTGCTATTAACCTGTCCACCAGGCTTGGGCAATCAGCTGCCCTCTCAACTTCAGGTTTTCCAAATGTCATTGCAAACTCCTGGAATAGAGATGGAGACCAGTCTGGCTCTCAAGAATCAGTCTGGCCCACTCCCCAGGAACCCCTCTGGGAGGGACTGGTGAAGGCTGGGGCTAGATCTGGAGTTGAGACAAACTGGAGACTCAGGTCGTCTCTCACTTCTGTCCCCACAGCTCACTGTGGGCGTCCTGCAGGCCGCTGAGCTCCCTGCCCTGGACATGGGGGGCACCTCAGACCCTTATGTCAAAGTCTTCCTCCTCCCAGACAAGAAGAAGAAATATGAGACCAAAGTCCATCGGAAGACACTGAACCCTGCCTTCAATGAGACCTTCACTTTCAAGGTGACATGGCTGAAGTAGGACTCCAGCTCCTTCCCTGTCCCCAAGTTCTGCAGCCCTTTCCCTGCCCTTAGCCATGACTGGGGCCCTAGGACCAGCCTAGTCTAGGACAGTGGTAGTCTGAATCTTGGCCTACATAAAAGGTCACTGCCAATCTCCATGGAAAGCAGGGACCCCTCTTGTCTCACACTCTGCTCCCCCAGAGCCCCAAGTCTGTATAGTCTGCCTGGAAACCTTGTGGGCTAGCTGAACTAGAGGCCTAGGCTCAGGGACCTGTCTACCCCATTCCCTGGAGGTATATGGGTAACTCCGGCTCCTTCTGATACAACTCGTGCCCTGCAGGTGCCATACCAGGAGCTGGGGGGGAAAACACTGGTGATGGCCATCTATGACTTTGACCGCTTCTCCAAACATGATATTATCGGAGAGGTAAAGGTGCCCATGAACACCGTGGACCTCGGCCAGCCCATTGAGGAGTGGAGAGACCTGCAGGGCGGTGAGAAGGAGGAGGTGAGAGCAAAGATGAGGACAGACCCAGCAGAAAACTCATGCCTCTGCCTGCCTGGGCTTGCTCCACCTGGTGTGATGGGAAAAGGGTGGGCTTTGGAATCAGGCCTCCTGGGTTAGCATTCCAAGCACCATGCTCCCTGACTGTTGACCACAGGCCCATTGCTTAAAATCTCTGTCCCTGGGCTCTCTCCTTTAGACTTGTCTTACACATGAGGATTAAGTAAGGTGCCTGGTGCAGTGTCTGGTGTTTAGGCACCAACTAAACAAATAAGGACTATGATTAATGTTCCTCCTAAGGTTTGCTGTTATCCAGGACCAGTGATTCATGACTCTGTGCCTCTGTTTACCCACCAGGAAAACTCACCTTTATTCTAAATGATTTTCAGCCTGGGAGCTTGTCTGCTACCATTTGTTAATTCGCCAAATATTTATTGAGTACCTATTATGAACCAGAGACCCCAGTCTAGCCACTTTCCTTCCAAGCCTTGGTCCTGTGTCCCTATCAGGCCCTGGTGTTGCCTAGGTGGTGATGCAGGGGTGAGGAGGAAAGCATTAGACACCCTTCTCTACCTTGGGGTGCACATTGTGTCTGGGAGAAAGGACAGCACACCAGAAGCAGGATGAGTGACTGGTCAGTTTCTCCCAGGTGGCCCCATCCTTGAGAAGCTGTGGTTTTGGCAGAGACCTTGAAGTCTTGGAGTGAGGAGTCCTGAGACCTTACCCTGCCCCCAGTGCCAACTTTCTATGGGACTTTGAGGAAACCACCTCTCTCTGGGAGCCTTGGTTTCTCCTTGGTCACAAAGTATCCTTGCTTTGTCTCATGAAAGAATTGCAGTGACAATAGCAAAAGAAAAGGGAAGACTAAAGTGCAAGCCTGCAAGCCTAACAGCTGTTGGGAAGAGTGGGTGGAAGTGATCATTGGAAGAGGCTTTTGAGGAGCTCAGCCTCCCAAAATCCTGGGAAATGAACACTTGGTTGGCTTCGAACACACTCCTCATGGCTTCACACCTTACCCGGGCCTGGAGTAAGGGCTCAAAAATGCCCCACATTGGCTGGACCCATCAGGGCCTGCCACCCCAGCCTGTCCTCTGCCCGTACACTCGTCAGATTATGGCCATGAACTGGAGGAGAGATCCCAAGGTCAGATGCTGCAGGATCTTTTTTCATTAGTGGGGACTAATGACTGAAGGAGGCAGCTAGAAACCACTGCCGTGCTAATCTCAGCAAGATGGGGTCAGCCATTGTAGACAGAGTAAAATGGCTGAGATGACCTGAGTCCTGCTTCTCCCCCTGGACAGCCAGAGAAACTGGGTGACATTTGTACCTCCCTGCGCTACGTGCCCACTGCTGGAAAGCTCACGGTCTGCATCCTGGAGGCCAAGAACCTCAAGAAGATGGATGTGGGTGGCCTTTCAGGTAATGCAGAGCTTCTGGCTGCCAGTGGGTGGCACCAGCGAGCCAGTCACTGTCATGAGCCCTGGAGCATGCACCCCCAGCCTGAAAGAACACTTCCTACCCTGGAATTCTGCTGTCTCCCCTTGCAGGGGAGCTCTGGCTTCCCAGTCCCCGCTTTCTCCAAGGCCCCCCTGTACCCAATCAAAGTTATCTTCCCGATGCCCTTTGGCCATGCCCTGTGGGCCATGGATGAGAGGATCAGAGAAATTTCATCCTTCAAATGAGTTAAAGACTTAGGATTTCCCATCTCCTGGAAAGTGTAGGAAGTGAGTAGGGCTTAGCCCAAATCAAGGACTGTTCCTGCAGGAGCTGTAGCTTCCGCTGGTTCTGCCCTGGAAGGAGACTCCATGTGTGTGACAGTCTTGAGGTTGAGATTTCCTGACTGTGAACTGGGCTAGCCCATGGCACAGGGTACTGGTGGTTGAAACCCACTGCCTCTGCTATGCCTTCTAAGAGAACCAGCACTGTGCCCTGCCTAGGCTTGGGCTTTGTCACTGACCTAATGTGCAACCTTGGCCCGGTCATTTCTCTTCTTTGGCCTCAGTTTCTCATCTGCAAGGTTGGGAGGATTGGATTGGGCCCTGGCTTTAGCACTCCTCTGCCTCCTGCCTAGCACAGGCATCACTAGTCAGACCCTATACTCTCTCACAAGCCCTTTCTTAGTCCCAGACCTTCCCCATCTCTATGTTCCAGGATACTACAACCAACAAACTCATCAGAGTTGTCTTTGAGGTAAAACCTTTGACACCTTTGAACTGGCTAATTCCTCTGTTGAGGAATTGGACTTTCTGTCCTATGCCCCAGAGCTTTCTTTTTTGAGGGGAGGAGCAGTACTGGGGATTGAACTCAGGACCTCATGTTTGCAAGGAAGGAGCTTTACCACTTGAGCCACTCCAGCAGTCCTGTTTTGTTTTGGGTATTTTTGAAATACAGTCTCACAAATTATTTGCCTGGGCTGGCTTCAAACCACAATCCTCTTGATCTCTGCCTCCTGAGTAGCTAGGATTATGGGCGTGAGCCACCAGGACCCAGCTTGCCCCAGAACTTTCTGAAGGCTTGGGTTCTGGTTGCACACAATCTGCACAAAGACCCTGGGCTCACTGGGAGGGTGGGTGGAGACTAAAGGGATCCTAACCCCTCTGAGGTTGGGACTTTCCCTGCACAGACCCCTACGTGAAGATCCACCTGATGCAAAATGGCAAGAGGCTCAAGAAGAAGAAGACGACGGTGAAGAAGAAGACCCTGAACCCCTACTTCAACGAGTCCTTCAGCTTTGAGATCCCCTTCGAGCAGATCCAGGTGTTTACACTCCGTGGGCCTTAGGCAAATGAGGATGGGGAGGTCGAGGGCAGGGCACTCACCAAAGACCTCAGAGCAACCTCGCTTGGTGGGGGAAGGCTCTGGGTCCCATGATCCCACAGTATGGCCTCCTTCTTGGAGGGTCTCCTTTTTCTGAGGAGATGAACGGCAACTAATTTGATAAAGATTCTACAGATCCTTCCTTAAGGATTTCGAGGAACACTTGTGCACATGGACATGTAGTAGTGACACCACTGAGGTTGGGAGTGACTGAGGAGGAAATGGCCTCGCTCATCCTCCTGATGTCCTTCTTTGGCCATCCCTGCCCCCATTTCTACTGCTTCCCAGGTCTGCTCCCATCTGCCCCTCTGACTCTTTCCTCTCCAACTTTGTCTGTTCTTCCTTCCCTTCCTTCTTTCCTACTAGAAAATTCTGTAAATGTTGGAGATGAGGTTTGTTTTTCGCCACTTCTGGGTATGATTGGGAGCTGGACCTAGAAGGACAAGAGACCCTACCTTTGGGGGCTGGAAGTCAGAGGCAGCTAAGGGCTTGCATAGCAGTGGGCACTCATGAAGTTTCCATCTCCTGCCTTTGTAGTGAGCTAGCCCTCCCCCTTTCCTCCCCTCCAGGAAGGCTGAGGGGCAAGAGTGCTGAGTTGGAGCTATCAGCTATGGAGGAGTCTGTGATGGATGGTGGAATTCCTCAAGAGAACAATGGGCAGCTCAGTGATAATGTGAGCCCAAGAGTCTCCACAATGGAAAGCTTTAGACATAAGGTGTACTGGCCCAAGCATTTCAAGTTCATCAGTGCAGTGACCTCTGTCCTTTCTCCTTTCAACCAAACCTTTAATTCTGTTGTTTTTTGTTTTTCCTCTACTGGGGATTGAACCCAAGACTTCATGCCTACTACTCAAGTGTTCTACCCACTAAGCTATACTCCAGCCCTGAATTTCTCTGTTTTCAATTAATTGTCATACTACCCACTCAGTGGGCCAACTCAGAAACCTAGCAGCATCTTAGACTCTAGTCCTTTTTCCTTTCTCACTTATCCAACACACTTTCCTGAGCATTTCTTAAGTGCCTGGCACTTGTGAGGGGCTAGGGAAACAAGTATGTAGAAGATACAGTCCTGGCTTTCAAGGCCGTGGCAGTGGGAGGGGACTGGTGAACTGGTGGAGAGTGTTACAGCACAGTGAGATGACAACTTCAAGGAGAAGAAGACAGAGGACAGGTGGGGGTGAAAGGGAGCAATTCAATAGTGGCTTCCCAGAGAAAGCTTTGTCCTAGAGTTGAGTCTGCATTTGTCTGGAGTCAGGGAGAAAGGCATGGACTGTCTCCTCAACAAATCCACCTGATCAGCTAGCCCTCTTGGTCCCCTCCTCTAAACACCTCTCCAGCCTGACTGACTTCCCATCTCCACTGCCTTGTTTTCCATCCTCAATATCTACCTCTCCAGAACCCCTAGCGACTGGCCTCCTCCCTGCCTTCAAGCCCATTCCTCTTGTAGTGACTATTCCTCAATACCAGCACTCTCTAAAATAGCCGTGCTATTTCTCTTCAAAGTCTGCAGGAACCTCTGACTGCTGGCCTAAAGGATAAAATGTAAACTCCTTAGCTGACTCCACCCTCCACCCACCCACTGGCTTCATTTCCTGCCTCAGTTGCTTCTCTATACATCAGTGACTCTGAGTTGCTGATGTTTCTCAGTCACCAAATGCACTCCTGTGTCCGTGCCCTACCCACGCTAATGGTTCCTGCATCCTCTTCCTTCTTTTCTCCTCCTAGAGAAATTGTCAGCTTTCACATCCCAGTTCAAATGTCACCTCCTCTGTGGAGCCTTTTGTGATTAACCTGAGCAGGAGTGTCACTTCCTCCATGTCTCTACCAGGACCTTGCGTTAATCTCTCTAGCATAACCTTCATCACTTTCATTTTAAGTTTTTGATTCTATATGTCTGCTGACCTTATGTCTAACCCTAATCCTAACCTTAACCATAGAGGTAAAATCCATCTTTTCATGCCTCCCCCAAAGGGCTTTACACACGCCTAGAGCATTGCACATGCTCAGTAAATGCCTGTTGGTAGAGACACAAGTCACTTCCAAAAGGTGTAGGCTCCACCTCCATGTAAATTCAGATTTAGTTGGAGCTCAAGGTGCAAGCAAGAAGACCTGGGAGGCGTCTAGTCATTGGGACTATTGGTTGATAGAAGGGAAAAATTTGGTCATGGAATCTCCATGTCTTTCCCTGCCAACTCCGTTCCTTTGTTTTCCTTGCAGAAAGTCCAGGTGGTGGTCACGGTGCTGGACTATGACAAGCTAGGCAAGAATGAAGCCATCGGCAAGATCTTTGTGGGCAGCAATGCCACAGGCACAGAGCTGCGGCACTGGTCCGACATGCTGGCCAATCCTCGCAGGCCCATTGCCCAGTGGCACTCACTGAAGCCTGAGGAAGAAGTGGACGCACTTCTGGGCAAGAACAAGTAGGCAGTAGCGGCTGGGAACCCGCGCGCTTCACGGACGCTGACAAGATCCAGAGCTATCAATACCTCAGTTATGCAACCTTAGAGGTTTTTTCATTTGTTTGTGGTGTGTCTTTGTTTTTCCTTCCTTTTTCCTCTTTTTAAAGATCAACTTCCCTTTGAAGGCTGCGTGAGGAGAGTCCCCTTAGAGGTAAAAGAGAAGCCTGGCTCTGTTCATCTCCTTGGAACTTCCCTTGCTGACTGCCCTGTCTTGTTGCCTTTCAGTTTTTCAAAGCTTCACTTAAGCCTCACCCTGAGTGAGGCCCTCTACTGGCAGAAAGTTGCAGCACTTCCTGTTTTTGTGTGGGTTCTGGACCAACAAAATGGCGGCACACCCTGTTTCCTGACAGCAAAGGCAACACGGTGGCCAGTGATGTGTGTGTGTGTGTGTGTGTGTGTGTGTGTTGTGTAGCTGTGTGTGTGTGTGTGTGTCTTTGAGTATCTCTTCATTCCTTGAATGAGCCATGGACAGTGAAGCTGAAGCTGTGTGGGAGAGGAGGAGCTTCAGGAACCCCAAACTGAAGAAAGCCCACTGTCTTAAGTGGAAGATCTGTCAGCTTGTGGAGAAGACCCAGACTCATAGTCAGATGTCAGAGGCCCTCGTATTCCTTGTGAGTGGCTCTTTGGGAGGCAGCAAGATGTGAAGACTGGATGTGTCCAGAACTAGGACCAAACTCCTGATGCCATCATAGACTTCCTCCTGTCAATCATGGTTTCCCCAGAAGTGGGATTTCTGGGACATTTTTGGAAATGACTATTCTTTAGATTGGTCAGACTTTAACAGGAACTGCGAGTCCCAGGATCTCACTCTTGTTAACAATGAATATCAAACTATGAAGAAACAGTGCCCAGAAAAACTAAAATTAAATTCCTGGATCTTTGCCCCATCCCATGGAAAACCTAGACGCTTTCTTCCTCTCCAGAATATTGGCAGTGCAGTTCATTTGCATTTATTCTCCATCATGCTTTGCTTCTGTTTCTCTTTTCATTTAAGTGGAGCAACACTGTCTGAAGACATGTTATCTGTACAGAGCCAGAGAACTTTAAGAGGAAGGCTTAAATGTTCTTAGTTCCCCTAAGGTTCAGGTAAGAAGGGGGTGGTAAGAAGAGGAAGATAGATGGATGGTGGAGAGTTACTTGGATGAGATAGATGGGATTCCCCCAACTCTCATTCCTTGTTCCCTGGACACTCTGCCTTCCATGCCTGTGGGTTGTGGGTAGCTGGAGTGGCCCAGGAGGACCAGTGCAGAGGCCCCAACATGCCATTTATTAGACAGGCTTCTAAGAATGCCAAAAATGAAGGTCATTAATTCCAAATGAGTGATGAAGGAGGACTTGTCAGGGTTTCTACCCCATGCTGTTATGTCCCATTCCCTGTTCACCTTTTGTCCCTGGCATTGATTAAAAAGCCATATATATGTTAGTCAAGTTTATACTGAGTCCCCATCCAAACCTTCAGCCTGGGCAAGAGAGTTAGCCCCCATGTGACCAGAGGCCAACCCTACTTGCCTCCCTTCTTTTGGCCTTTCTGTTCCATCTTTAAATCCTTCCTTAAATTTCTTTACCACAGAAAATTCACAGCTTTCCCGGAAGCCTGGGAATCACTCTCTTTGCCAGCCAAAATGGTAGCATCTATCTTATCCCATCCAGGCTTCTTCAGGTTCTTGTAGGCACCTGAGGTGGATGATACTAGAATCAGGCTTTGAGGACCCAGCATGAAGAAGGTGCAAGAGTGTCTTTTTATTTTATTGAGGGTTTTGTTTTATTTTTTGGCTGAAGTAGGGAGTGAAGGAACACTTCTACCAGAAACAGACTGGGAAGAAAGGCTTGGCCTGCCTCTTTTCAGAGTGATCGTTGGCATATGAGAAGTCACAGATTTTATAGCCTCTGTGTGTGTGTGTGTGTGTGTGTGTGTGTGTGTGTGTGTGTAATAATGAGGAGGTAGGACTGGATAAGGATTATAGGCTGTGATCCTTGGGACCAGAGTTATGATCATGGTAGAGAGTTGTAGAACAATGGCTGTAGGTTACCAGGGTTGTGGTATGGACATCTGAAGTCACTATACTCTTCTCTCATCCCCAGAGCTATGGGGTTTTGGTGCTTTCTCAGGGTCCTTCTCCACACTTGTTCTCTTCCAGCCATTCCCCACAAATCTCATTCCTGGAACTCTGTTGTCCATCCCATCCCCTTTGCCTCTATCCTGTTGCCCTTTCCCAACCCACTTTCTACCACCTGGGATTCTTTTCTGCTCATGAACCCCATGCAGCCCTTTGAGAGCCCAACATTTGCTACTCCCCTGACAGAGTTAGAAAGGGAATGACAGGCACCTCTGGGGCTTAGGTGTCCTTAGATCTAGAGACAGGCTGGATTTTATTGCTCTGTCCTCTCTAGTGGGCAGCTTGGAGACTGACTCTCAGCACCAGGGTGGCACTGGTGTGAGTGCCAGAATCAGTTCCTGCCCAGGTGCTGCTGGTCCTGATGAGCCACCCAACCAGGTAACATCTCTCTGGGTCCAGGCATTAGGCTGGAACATGCTGAAGCAGTAGGTGACTATATCTGAGGGCTGATATGACCCAAACCTGTTGTGTAAGTTTATTTCTGGGGATGTGAGGGCCCTGGGGTATCAGCACAGGATAGAGTTAGGGTTTGTGGCTAATGAGGAGTTCTGGATGCTTTTGGAGCTGTGAGTTTTCATCTCAGTCTGTTCCCAGGAAAGGAAGATACTTAGTAGAGAGGTCCTTTTTTTTTTAATAGAGGGGCTGAGACCATGAAAATCTAAACTCAATCCTAGCTAGGGCTAGGCTGGAAACTATTTCCTCCCTGAATGATCATTCTAGAATGGAAATATACTCTGCCAGTGCTTTTCAGAATGGAAGGAGAAACTGAGGCCTGGAGAAGGCTGTGCAGTCCCAGAATGTGGGTCCTAGACAATGAGCTATGATGAGGAGCCCTTTGGCTGGAGGAGGAGACAGTAGGGATTAGGCTTCAGCCTTTCTGTGGGTGAAACCAACTTGCTTGTAAACAGTGGAAGTGGACAAGAACAGAGAGAGAGAGAAAAAAAGAGAGAGAGAGAGTATTCCTGTTCTTTCCATTTTCTAGGATAATTCTTGAGGTTTCTGAATCCTGGGTCTCACTCTGCCTCTTCCTTTCTCCACCCTCCCTGCTTCCCACCTCAGGCTGGTTGGGGCCTTTTCTCAGAGCCACAAGTAGTGGCAGGCAGAAAGGAGTCCCAGTTCCTTATCCTTGAGACCTGTGACGGTTACCAGATTTGGCAAATAAAAATAGAGAATGCTCAGTTAAATTTGAATTTCAAATAAACAACAAATAATTTTAAGTGTGTCCTAGGCAATATTTGGGACATATTATACTAAAATGTGATTTGTTGTTAGATTTAAAGGAAATTCAAATTTAAGTGGTCATTCTGTATTGTGTCTGGCAACCCTACCCTATGACCACTTTTCCCTGCTCCCCTCTTGGTCCCAGAGGGCCAGAGATTGGTCATGGATTTGACTTAATCTGTTTTTCTTGAGCTGCAATATTGAGAAGGGGACACTGTGACTTGAAGATACATGAATATACTTTATTTTTGAAGCAACAACAAGAATCTTCTGAAGCCATTTGAGCCTCATCTGCCCCTCCATGTGTGTTTAGTTATATATAAGAGAAGATAGTTATCTATAAACATATGAACGGAATCTTGTTTCATCAAGATGCATGTCTATAACTTTCTGTAAATAGCCGCATGGCAATGCTGAGAGCCCCCTTGATCTCCCAGCCCACAACCCATTTTACAGAACTGGTTGAGGCTGCTCCTTTGATTTTATGTTGTGTAAAGTCTTTGTTCTTAGCCCCACCCCTACATCCTCCCATGGGGAATCCTTGCAGTGGGAGCCATTGGGATGGGAGTGTGTTTCTGGCCCTGGGGCCAGCACTGCCCAGGGAAGATGCTGGAGGATACTGTGGCCTTGAAGACCCATCTACTGCACACCTGATTGCAGGGCCACCATTGGGGCATGGTGTAGGGTCCAGCTGGTGTCTGGTGTCCCATTGCTTCTGTGTCCAGTGTATGTATGTGGTGTGGTTCCCTTCCTCCCACTGTCTGAATTAATTGAAAAGCCATAAAGGGGGCCTCCTACTGGAGACTGTCCTAGGCTCCTCCCAGGAGCCCCCATGTCCCTATGACTGGCTCCCCACAGAACACTTGTGAAGGGCTCACCTGTTGTCACCCCCTCCTGATCCCTCAACCGTGTCATGAAGACAGATGGCATCCAGGGCTTCTGGTGGGGCCTCAGGAGATGCCCCTGCTGGCCTCTTTGGCTTAGGTCTGACAGCTAAACTCCATCTCCACCCTGGGTGTGGACTCCATAGCTTTGGATGTTTTCCTGAGGGCCCTGCAAGAAGCAATAAGGGTTTTCAGGAGCAGTCAGCAGCTCAATTTGGCCAAGTTCACAGTGACCACCTGGGGTTCACAGAACCAGCCTTGCCTACTCAACACTAAAGTGTCAGAGCCCCTGGATGGCAATTGGAGGAGGATCTCATGGGGACCACAATGGGTTAAGCTCTCCCCCACTTTCGCCTGCAGTCTGACAGCACCCCAAGTACAAGGGAGCCCTGAGTGGTGGGCAGGTGCAGTTGTGTGGGTTGACTCCTAGCAGGTATGCGCTTGGCTGTGATCCTCACTTTGCTCCCAGGGTAGCCTCAGCAGGTGTAAAGTAGTAGACAGGCGGGCAGAGGGAACTGGAGCCTTCTAAGGTTCTCAGTCATCACGTTGAACTGTAGTCCCCCCCCACCCCAGGCCTCCATTGGATCCCTCTCCCCTCCAGAACAGTAATGCATGTAAATCATGCATGCAAATAGCCCAGGAGACTTCAGGCAGGAGAGAACTTGGGTGAATCAGGCAGGGTGTATTTGACAAGGCCAGAGACAGCAGGGTGGGCTCTGTCATTTACAAGCCATGACATTTGAGCAGAAGTCCTAGAGACCTTTGTGCTGAGGACATGAAGAATGGGGAAAGTGGAGGGGGACCATTTCAGGGATCAGCGCTCTTTGGGCCTCTCTTGCTCTCCAGAAAAAGTAGAGGAGAGATGGTGAGGTGGCAGGAGCAGTGTGTGGGGACATTGTGGTTTCCCTACCTGCCTTAGCAATCAGGACTTTAGGGGGAGTCCTCTTCAGAGAAGTCTGACCATTCTGCCCTGATTCCTGCTCATCAAAGATTTGATTTGCTGCTTTCTGAAAATCTTGGGGCCAGATACTTTCAAAACCAGGGCTGGAGCAGAAGCCTAGCCTGCCTAAGGTCACCCCTGGAATGCATCAGCACCACCAGGAGCCCTCTCTGTCTTCATAGGAAAGACACGTGTGTAGTCCCTTTCCCGGCTCTGCTTGGCAATGCTCTCTACCCCCTTATGTGGACTCTGTTGTTCTTGTCTGATCTCGTCAAATTGTTATTTTGTAATGAGCTGCGTCTCCTTATTAAAGAAATGAGCTGAAAGAAATCTGGGGGTGGGGGGGTGTCTCTAGTTGTTTTTACTGGGCCATGGTGAGGGTGGGAGTAGTAGGCATGACCCCTAAGGGTCAGCATGGCGTGGGAGAGTTTTGAGGCTCTCATCTCTGGCTCAGCATCTCCTTTTAGGGATGCC